AAAATTCAAACCACTCAATTAAAGAAATAAACCACCATATACCTAACATAAACACCTGTGCTAAGCCCTATATTATTGCTAACTAACAAATTATCATTTATTTGAGCAAGTTTTGGCATAATATCCAGGCTACTTGCAAAGAGTACACCGTCATACTCTACCCTCTACCAACTCGAACCCAGAAGGATCCCTTCTAGTTAAATTATTTGTTCGGTAGTTAGGGGCACCAGGAGGTTTTCTTTTTGTATGAGATACTTGAGGATTTTGTAAGTCTATTAAGGGGCATCAATCATATTATTCAATATTTTTTGTGCAGCTGCTTGTTGGTGTTCTGGCCATTCTTTATATCTTTCTTCTAAATTTTATAGAAGGGGTTGTAATTTATGAGCATTGGTATTAACAAATGATATTGGTAAACGATTTTGGATCCACCAATGCTCGTGAATATCATCAAGTATTAGACTTTGATTATCTTCTAGAAGTTGGATTTTGTGAGCACAAGGTAATCTCATCTTGCTTGAAAAAGATCCAGTACATAGTAGTAAGGGTTCCCGTATTGTCGCACATTTATTCTTTGGTGTTGTTCGTTTATCTTTTTAAAAGCAAAGTTGGAAACTTTGCCCTTAATATTAGTATATAAATTATTTTACGAGAAGGTTGGAAATCGAATTTTTTCTGATGAGGCCTTGGTGTTTATTTCTTTTTTTTGATTTTCTATCGCTAAAAAGATTTTTATACAGACAGAATGAAGATCACCTGCAGATATACGTAAGTATGTTTTAATAGTTGCATGTGTATCTTCAACTTGAGAAGTAACAGTTGTCCCCAAATGAAGAAACCTATTAGTAGTGTCACAAATCAAAAGTTGAAAAAAAATCGATTAGTTGGTTAGTTGACAACTAATCGATTGAACTTTTTAGATACCAACAAATCAAAAGTTAAAAAAAATTGATTAGTTGATTAGTTGACAACTCATCGATTGAACTTTTTAGACACTAACTAATCGATCAAAGAATTAATTAATTAGTTTTATTGATTAATCGATTAGTTGCAACTTGTCAATTAATCAATTAGTTTCACTCAATTGAAAAAATAATTAACCAATTAATCAAGTAGAAATTTTTAATAATCTGTTTTCTATCTATTAGTCCATACTTTACGAATTTTTCTTTCCAAGATATTCAAGTTTCCTCAAGATAACTAATGACATGAGGTTTGTTTGTATAAGTATTACAAAATTCATACTATTTTGTACTAAATTCTTCTTTCGTTAGAGACTGAACAATCTTATTCTATTCAGACAAAAAAAACTTGCTACTCATTACCTGTGAATTGTGGTTTGCAGTTTTTCATTACATTTTTATTAATATGCTACAGGCATAATAAATTAGTTGAATTTGGAAAGGTTGTTCTAAGAGCACCCATAAGAGCTAGCTCTCTATCTGTTACTATAACCCTAGATTTTGGTACTCCATCAAACAACTGAGCAACACGGCTTAAAGCCCATAGATAATCCTCTTCCTTTTCATCTTTTATAAAGATAAAACATGAAAAAAAGTCATGTTGAAACATATTGGATGTTCTGATAAATCTTCTGAAGGATTATGATTATAGATTCTATTATGAACTTCTATATACTATAAACCAGCATGCCAACCAGCATATAACTCAAAAAGATAGTCAATTAGCCAGGTATTTGTTTGCCTTTGAAGTTCTTCTAAGCTAGTATAAACTCCACTATGATCACAGTGCAATATCATATTTTTCAAGTTGCCATATTTATCCTTACATGTTCTTTTTTTCACCAATATATAACCTTAAGAATTGGTGAACATTTGAACATTTTGAAATAGATTATTAGCATTTTCATATATCGCAGATTGTAGTGGATGCATTTTTGAAATTAACAGATTTTTTAAAGAATTATTGTTATAGCAGGGAAGTGTTTTATTATTTAGTTTATTTCACTGTTTTTCTAAAAAACTTAATAATTTTTTATTTTTATTAAATATAACTTATACTTCATGCATCTTTACATGATGCTTTACTATTTTATATTACTAATTTATACATAACTGATTAATGCATTGCTAAATATGT